CCTTTATCCAGTTATTGGAACAATTTAGAATACCTTGGAAAATGGAGAGGTGAGATAAACAGTAAATAACCTTTAGTTAACTACAATAATAACAATGAAATGTTAATGGACAATATTTAATGATACATACAGGTGTGTTACGGGGGGAGAGATGCTTAGATATCTTACTTAACTGAATTAATTTTAGTATATGTTATAAAGGTGCAATGTTATTGGAGATCTATTAAAATTGCAAATGAATGCCAGTAGGTGGTTGTTTCTTCTAATATAAATGATTCTAGATAAAAACATGTTTAAACAATGGCAACTAAATGAGAATTATGGTACAGGGGTAGCAAATACATAACTTTTCTTTCTTGACTTAAAATGTACAACCTGATTTGAATGAAGTATATGTAAGGACTGTGGAAGAAACGCACGGAATATATTTGTAACCAATCGATACGCTTTCAACAAGATATAACGAAAGATTATTTTTTTTGTTTTTTGTTTTGTTTAACTAAAACAATAAAAAAAATTCTCAAGAAAAGAAAAAGAAAATGGAGTTCACATCATGATAGATTTCTTCTCAAGGAAAAATAAATGCTAGTTGAGTTATCCTACAGCCGCTATGAATTCTCTCACGGATTTGCTGGCAGTATACAACCAATTTTATTTATTTAATTATTTATTTTGTCAAACATGTGCAAGATAATCATGGACACGAACACAGGAAATAGGTATGAATAAATGGGGACAAAAGGACAGGGACGTTATGCATGCTGGTGCGCTTATGCAGGCCCCCTACAGACCTCTTAGGAAAGGGGTGAGGTCCACGCCAGACAGTTTAAGATTAAAGTTATGGGGGTTTGAGGATGTAACAACAGAGTTGGGTAGAGCATTCCAGGCATTGACCATTCTGTTGCTGAAGTCACATTTGTGCAATCGAGTTTGAGTGGTTTACCTTGAGTTTGTATCTATTGTTTGCCTCTATATTGCTTTGTTTGTTCCCAAGTAAACAAATGTGTTCCAAAACAGTTAGCAGAAATCTCATCAATCCAAACTATATTTGAAGAAGTTTTGAGGACTGTCTACTCAAATTTCAGCATTAGCAGAGGGTCATAAAGTCCAGAAACCAAGTTAATATTGAACCATGTTGTTTATTACTGCTACTGCCTGCTACTTCACCTTGCTTCCTCAAAGGATGTTAAGTAATGGAGGACTTGGCACCTCCTATTCTTTGCTTAAAACTAGGTAACAAAGCCATGTCTCTTATAAATCTCTTATAAATATTTGACCTTCAGCTACATCCTAATATAGAAGGTTATGGCAGATTTGTGGAAGAACTCATGTTCTCCACACATTAGCAGCATTATCATGGATGATGAAGCAGGCCAGGCTGTTACATGGTTCATAATGAAACAGGATACACACTTACTTGCTATCCAATTTTGGGAACTGAAAGAGAGTCATGGTTCTTAGCTTTAGTAAATGCACAGCTTTTACCCATAGCCCTTATTGTTGACAGAGTGTGCATGGACAGGAATACACCCACTGTGTGTCTTGATACAGTTCTCTGGAAGTGGGATATTATTTTCAAATAATTCTGCCTGGTCATAATACATCTGCTGGTTTATCACTGGATTAGGTCAGCACAGTGCAACATGACTTAAGCCTATAATTCAGCTTTAAGAATCAAGCAGTATATCTTGGTTTCTAACAAGTGGAATTTGATCCAAGCATCTTTTTTACAGCCTGCTTAGATTTTGACTTGCTTGTTGCAGTGAACTGACTGGTGCATTTAGGTTTAAGAGGCCTGAATTAAATTCCATGCTCAATAATGTACTTCATATAACCAATAACTCTCAGTCAATAATTTTCCTTATGGAAGTATTATGAAAGTAAAACAAGAGAACTGTGAATATGCCATTGAGTAACATACATTGTCAAACTTAAGAACACAAAAGCAAAAATGTCATTTGATCTCTACATGAGAAAAGACTACAATTTGATGCTAAAACACATGATCTGCAGGCCAATTGGATCTCAGTTATCTTAATTGAGTAATAAAAAAGGATCTGAAATTCTACAACTGAATTAGTGCCAAAATACAGTAAAATATGGCCTGCAACCTTGTTTTTTTCAATCACCCTCACAACACACCCTTCTTCCCCTCTTCCCCTCCCCATAGTTAGATAAGCTTATATCATTCTTGGCGGTTCCAGTGCTGAAATAGTGTTTCTCTGACACCAATTAAGGCTAGCCTCAAGGTTTGGAACACCTGTTAGACTTCGTCATTCATTCAGGAAGTCAGGGGAACAGAGTGATTGAGAATGCAGGCAGAAGAGGCATGAGATGAGGATAACATGTTACAAACCAGGTATAGTTCTCTGTAGACTGGGGAGATGGAATACTTAATTTAGGCCTAAGGAAAGCTCCATGAGACCTCTGACTGTAAACTTGAAGAGCCACTGCTGGCTTAAGTACATAATAGACTATTAGTGGGACTTGGGATAATTACAGGTAGTCCTCATTTAGCAAGTGCCTCATTTAGCAACTGTGTTTTAGTGAATGTCTCCTATAGAAACAGTTCAGAATTATGACAGTGATGAAAAAGTAATTTTATGACCACTCCTAATGTTTACAATCTCCACAGGCCTCTAAAGCAAAGCTGAAGTAGGATCATAAGCCACAGCCACTGTTTCACTTAAATGTCCCAATTGTACCCACTAAATGAGAATATGGTGTTATTTTTTAATAATTAACCCTTATAAACCTTCTTTTCGGTCTTAGCTCTCTAAACATTTAATACATTCTGAAAACCTGCTCTCATGATTATATTTCAAATATCAGTGCTGAAACAATTATGTGCCCCTTTCTGAATTTATGAACACCTGACATTTTCCACAAGCAGATTCCACTGCAGATTTGAATCAGATGACTGCACACATACTCATGCAGGCTGGTTTTGTAGGTGAAAACCACATATAGATACCTTCACATTTCCTCTAACGTAGGATCCCTGAAAGAAAAACAATACTCAGTCACTGGCCCAACAAACTTAGGACTCTTTTGCACAATAGCATTGAAGTATTATTCTCCAGTATGGAAGCTGGAAGGAAAGCAAATTCTTCTGTGTTGACTGCTAACTCTTCTTCTACTTTAGCAATGAAGTAGAACAGAGGTATCAAACTCACATCATCATCAGGGGTGGTATTTATTTACATTCCCTACCGGTTTGCAAATGTGAGTGTGTGTCTGTGCATATGCTCCGCCTTCCGCGCATGTCCTTTGCCTTTAAAAAGGGCCTAAATGGGATGCTATAGAGCCAGGGCAGTTGGGTGGGGCTATCTGCCATTTCCGCTACCGGTTCAGGCGAACCGGTCAGAACTGGCAGAATACCACCAGGTCGGCATGTGATATATCATGACTTTTTCCCCCTTCGCTAAATCAGACATGGGTGTGGCCTACATGTGGCATCTGGTCCACAGGCCGCAAGGCCCCTGAAGTAGAACAGTTCTCTTCATATGAACCTGAGAAGAGAGGTGAGATGAAGAAAGCCTTCTCTGCTAGCATTGATCTTCAGCTGTCAGTTTTCTAACTCCCCTTAGCATCACTCTATGGCACTGTTTTCCAAACTTGGCCACTTTAAGATGTATGAACTTAAAGTCCCAGAATTCCCCATTTGAAAAGCACTGCTCTATGGGATCAGAGAACTGGCACCAAAGGATCTTTAATGCATCTCTCTCCCCTGTTTCTCTGTCAGCCATGGGAACAGCTGCAAGGAGAGAGGAGAACTGATTTCCTTATTTCTCTTGCAAGCGTGTGCAAGAGAAGGGAAGAATGGAGGAAAAGCATGCATTTTGGGTGCCAGTTGGGTTGAAGAACATTGAACACATAGCGAAACATATATTCAGCTCTCTTCACTGGACACATGTCAAAAAATGGCCTCAGCCAAACCTTTGGAACAGGAAGCAGTTCACTCCAGAGGGTGGCATAAAACATATATTCAGTTCTCCTCACTGGACATCTGTCAAAAATGGCCTCACCCAAAACTTTGGAACAGGAAGCAGTTGCACCCTGGAGGGTGGCACTAAGCAGCTTCCCTCCTCCCACTTACCTCCCCCCAACAGTTCTCCAACTGTGGAGGATCTCTGGATAGGAGATCTGATGCCTAAAGAGCTGCTCCCCCCCCCCCCAAAGTACCTTGTCATCCTTCCCAGTCCTAATAACTTGGGGGATCTGCTGCCAGATCTGGCCTAATTTGCAAAATAAGTTGGGACATTGGAGTCACTTTGGCAGAGTAGGAGAGTCTTGACTAGTCAAAAGCCCATATGTGTGTGTATATGGGGGGTATATGCTTACAGGAGCCTCCGGTGACCCCCAAAACAGGGCGGATGATCGTTCTCCCGCTTACCTTACTTACTTGGGGCGCTGCAGACCATCAGAAAGGCTGTGTTTGGCCTGGCAGAAAGTGGAACACCTCCCCACCACCGCCACACACACCCTCTTTAGAAATGGGTCACACGAAAACACGCTCAGGGGTACGTCTAAGGGACTGTTATCCGTCCAGGTGTTTCTAAAAGGTTTGCCAAGGCACCTTTCTCCTCCTGGCGCGGCCAGCGGAGGAGGGTGCGGGAAGAAGTCTTAGTCACTCATTGCTTTATTGAAAGAATCGACCTATTTTTATCACGGGCGGAGGAACGGCTGTAATGCTGCGTACTCTTAAGGAAAACAAACATAGGGAAACCCTTATCAGCGTGGGTGATAAGTCGCCTCTTGGCTGAATGATTGACTCACATGGCAAAGACGACCCGACCAGGTAAGAACGGAGGTGGGCGGGGGGGAATAAAAAAAACTGACTCAGCTTCCCCCTCCAAGTGCTGGTCATTGGGCCAGCTTCTTCTGATTGGCTGATCGGCGCCCAACTGTATGTTTCATTGGCTACCCACATTCCCTATCAGGGCTCTCTGCCCCGCCCGCGTATTAATTTAGCCGGCGGGTGGGACTGCTGGGATTTTGCTGCAAGTCGCGAAGGCTGGTTTAGTAACTGCTGCCACCGCCCGCTCCGTTTAACCATCGCCATGAGGGAGAGAAGGACTCCTCAGCCAGTAGTGGCCCGGTGCAAGTTGGTTCTGGTGGGGGATGTACATTGCGGCAAGACGGCCATGCTTCAGGTGCTGGCCAAAGACTGCTACCCGGAGGTAAGAGGACCAGCCGTGGGGAGTGGGGGGCTTCCTCTGCGATTGCGGGAGAGCGAAAAGAGTTCTCTTGTGCTTCCCTTTGGCATCCGGGCTCTCTTTTGCCCCTCTTCGCCGATGATTGGATGTGGTCCTCATGCGGAATAGCAATAGTACTTGGACTTACACACCGCTTCACAGTGCTCTTACAGCCCTCTCTAAGCGGTTTACAGAGTTAGCCTATTCTCCCAACAATCTGGGTCCTCATTTTACCCACCTCGGAAGGATGGAAGGCTGAGTCAACCTTGAGCCTGGTGAGATTCGAACTGCCGAACTGCAGTCAGCTGAAGTCTCCTGCCATGCGGTTGTATCTTCCAGCCCGGAGATCGAAGTGGATGGAATGGCCTCACGTGGCTCCTCGGCCCTTCTCTGGGACTCTTGCCTTACCGAAGCCCGATCCTCTTGCAAAGCATTGGTTTCCGCCTCTGCCCAGATTTGGCGCCCCTTGTAGCTTTTCCTGGGGTACTTTGCGCGCGAAGGGTCCCTGTTGCTTCGGGGGGGGGGTGTTGTTTCATCGGTTTTGCAGTCTGTCGTTATTTCCCCTCCCTCTTGCAAGGGGCTTGAGTTGCAGAAGCATTCATTGATCACCTCTGCTGTTTGCTTGGTGGTAATTACGATTTCGAGCTGTGTGCAAGTCCTGCGCAGGAGCTGACACCCCCCCCTCCCAAATCTCCATTTCTGCTTTTGTACATTCCCTTTTGGAGCTAGGTAAGCCATTTTGGCTAAAGCCACCTTGTTTTCCCAAAAAACACACATGCAACATAACGATTGTGTGTCCACCAGGTGACTCTTATCTTCCCTTTATTTCTAGACCTATGTGCCCACTGTTTTTGAGAACTACACAGCATGCCTGGAAACAGAGGAGCAACGGGTGGAGCTTAGTCTATGGGACACATCTGGTAAGGCACCTCTTTCCTTCTATGCTTGGCTGCTGTTCAGGACCTTACGACTGACATCCTCTCCTTATGCTGCAATGGAATGGTGTAACTGAAGAACTAGCTTGTGTAGGACCTAGTTAGTAGCTGGCCAAGATATATCAATGCTGAAAAGCCTTTGCTACAGATTAGTGTCTGGTGTATGAAATGAGAAGGAGATCTTGTCTGTTTCTAATGGGGGAAGGGGGAGGCAGAAGACTTTAATCTGTTTAGTTTTTAAGTCACGAAGATTATACTGCAGGTAGAAATGCATAAAGGTCCTTTTTATCATAACTAGGAACAATACAAGGCCTGGCTTAGAGGTAGTTTTTGAGGCAAATGAGAATGTATAGGTATTTCAAAGCTTTTAGCTCAAAGAAAGGATAATGCGTTTTGCATGTTGTGTTGCTGTCTTGCACTGGAAGGAGATGTTTTTGCATTTTTATGCAGAAATGAACATCTTAAACCTACAGGATTTATATTGGGGTATGTGGGTATGGCAGAGAACTAGAAGAGATTGCTAAGAGAAGATATTAGAGCTTGCATTGTGACCAAATATCACCTCAGAATATTCTTAAACGGAAGTGGCTCTAAACATCTATTTTGTGATTTTGAACCTGGGCTAGAGACTTTCTCTAGCTTCTTAAATAAGATGCTCCGGTATCCAAGGCTTTAAGTAAAAATGCAGCAGTCCCGCCCCTCCTGCTGCTTGCACCTGCTTTTTCCCCAGTCCTCGTGATAAATCCTGTGAAGACTGTTGAACCCCCTCCCATCTATTTTCTCCATCTCTTCATTTCTTCTCTCTTGGAATGTTGGTATTTGTGTGGTTTGCCCATTTTTCACCCACATGGAGGTAGAATCCCAGGGCAGAGGGGTTTAGTGGATTCTGCAAGAGAGATCAAGAGGGAAAAGCAGCTCTTTACAATAAGGGGGCTCTTGAAAGTATTGTATATGTGATGGAGGAGGTGCCAAGTAGAGAGTTCTCCTAGCAACTAGGGATGGGCATCATCCCCTCTTTTGAAGGGGACTGTAAGTGGGGGACCCTGGCTATTTGGATCCCCTTGTTGCCATGGTGATTGTGCTGGTGCAGGGAACCAGGGGCTGATTCCTATTCTAGGCACGAAGTGTCTGGGCTGCAGAAACATTTTGGATGCTGCAGTTCCTTTGGGGGGGGGGGGGAGAGAATAGCCTGTGTATATTATTCATTCCTCCCTCACTTTGCAGCCTACCAACTACATTGCCATAGTCCATTCTCTGTTCCTGCATGTATGACATGCCTGGAACACACACAATTCATTTTTTCCATGTTTAATGAGAGATGTTACTAGGCAACTCCATTCCTCCCTCCAAGCTGCATACCCTCCTCGTAAATGGAAAAGCCTGTACCCCTTTTTCACATTTCAGTTATTGCTTACAAGTCAGGTGTGAAAGAGGAAATGGCCCTTTTAATGTAAAACATGGTTGAACTATCTCCTGAGGATATTCAGGGTGGGAGTGAGTAAGCAAAGCCCTGCAGATTTCTGATTCCTGTTACTTTTTCATGTTCTTCCTTTGGGGGTGGGGGTGTTAAAAGCACAAAACTTGGAAGTGCAACTAATCCTAGCACTAGGCAGTTATATCATCTGGCATTAGAGCAAGTAACTTTTTTCCCCCCTCAACGACATTGGTAAAAAGGGGAAGAGAGGATGCGTTGAGTCGCTTCATGGCTTTTCTCACTGCTTCTCGTAGGATCCCCATATTATGACAATGTGCGCCCCCTATGCTACAGTGACTCAGATGCTGTCCTGCTCTGTTTTGATGTCAGTCGCCCTGAGACCATGGATAGTGCAATGAAGAAGGTAAGGAAGGTGTGATCTCATTGTCCTGCCTACTGGGATTTGACTTGATCTAAAGGTTTGAGGATGCTACTCTTTAAAGGGAAAAAAAAGACTCTCCTTATAACAAAATATTAGTGACTTTGTGGTGCTGAGGAGAGAGAAGTTAACATTGCCAAAAGTAGGGCGGATCAGAAGAAAAAAATAGCTGCAGTTTCAAAACCCTACTTTAAACATAATTTACATACAGTGGTTTTAAATACAGTTCATATAATTACTCATTTTGCATGGCATCATTTTGCTTTTTTGCCACAAAATAAATTTCATTGTTGTAGCAAGCGTTTTGAATACTCTGGAACTTGTATATAGGCCTCTAAAGGGATTCTAGGAAGAACTGCTTATTGTATTTTGAGAAGGAAATTCTACACTATTTTTTAAAGTGCACCCCTGTAATCAAGAGCACAACTAAGTTTCTTGAGGGTTTCCTACTAGATACTTTCAACCATATGCTGCATTTGTGAGAAATGTCACTCCATAAGTTTCTTTCCCTAATTTTATTCTAATTGTATTCAGTGGAACTCTGCTCGGAATTAGAACTGTTGAGATCAAGCTATAGTGATTTCTTCTGTGTACATTTGAAAGGACCTTAACATTTCACATAGGGACATTTGATATTTTTTAAAAAGCCTGCATTCATTGTGGCAAAAAGGGAAATGGTGGCAAAAAGGGAAATGGTGTCACCTATTGTTTAATTACTTTGCTTTGTAATGTATTTTTTTTAAAAAAATAAACTAGGCCTGGATAGCAGGACATTGCAATGGCAGAGCAGGGCAGTTTCTCTACCAGGATGTGCTTTTAAAGACTTGTATTAAATGACTTTTAACATTTCTTTCACTGTACTTTTTCTTTCCAGTGGAAGACTGAAATCTTGGACTATTGTCACAATACCCGTGTGCTGCTGATAGGATGCAAGACAGACCTGCGTACTGATCTCAGCACCCTGATGGAGTTGTCTCACCAAAAGCAAGCCCCAATCTCTTACGAACAGGTGAGGCAATACAGGGTGCTGGTCTGGATATCTATTGCCATTCTTTCAACACGGACCCTTACTGGAGTAGCAGGAGTCTGCATTTTCAAACTTGTTCTAGTTTACCTTTTTTCCTCCTTTCGAAGATGACTAAAATAGTATTGGGAATGCTAGACTTAAGACTTGCATATGCTGATTAATGCCATCTTTCACCTTCAAGTATTACTGTGTTACTGAAAATGCCTGCAATGAAGCATTATTTCTATAAGAATATAAAACCTCTGCTGGATCACAGCCAATTCCTGCAAAAATATCTTGTTTGTTATCAAAGTCATGTACAGTACTTGAGGTGTGTGGCCAGATAAATCTAAATCTGTAAAGTTAATCCAGTGATGATGATTCTAGGCCAGAGACAGAAACCTGGTGTACTCTAAATCGTTTGGACCCATAGTTATACTAAGATTAATCAAGGAAAATTGAAAAATAAGAGCCGTGGTGGTTCAGTGGTTAGAATGCAGTATTGCAGGCTAATTCTGCTCACTGGCTGGCTCAAGGTTGACTCAGACTTCCATCTGAGGTTGGTAAAATGAGGAGCCAGATTGTTGGGGGCAATAGGCTGATTCTGTAAACCAGGGGTCCCCAACCTCTGGTCCATGGATTGATACTGGGCCACGACATGCCAGAAACTGAGCTGCGCAAACAAGTGAAGCCCCATAAGCAGGATGCAGGCAGCAGGCGAAACCACTCCTTCCAGTCCAGGGAAAAACCTTTCTCCCTGGAACCAGTCCCTGGTTCCCAAATGCTTTGGGGGTGGGATGCTGCTGCTACTGAAAACTGCCTAGAGAGGGCTGTAAAGCTCTATGAAGCAGTAAAAAAGTCTTAAGTGCTTTTGCTGTTCTGAGAACTGTAGTCTAAAATCCTGGAGGACACGAGATTACTGATTTCTATTGTAAGCTGTATTGCATCAGTGTTGGAGATCTCTTTTTTGTGAAAGGAAGTTGAAAAGACCCCTGACTGAGTGAGAAAAGTGTTCTTTCATAGAAAGGAAAAGGTCATTTTACTTGGTCAGCTCCTGAAGGATGAAGATAGATAATCCAGTCCTCATGGGGGACACCTTATTCCTCCATATCCTTATTCTTCTACAGCAGGGGTGTCAAACTCGATTTCATTCAGGGCTGCATCAGGATTGTGTTTGACCTTTGTGGGGGGATGGGGGACGGAGGTATGACTGGGTCGGCATGGCCAGCTTGATGTCAGTCATGTCAGAAGAGCCTGTAGCTGTTCAAGCACTCTGCCAGTGAAAACGAGCACTCTGCCGAGTTCCATTTTCAGCTGCGACGGCCTCCTGCAACCCTCTGCCAGTGAAAACGGAATTTGCAAGCACCACTCGTGGCCCTCCTGAGCACCATTTTCGCTGGCAGAGGCACTGTGGGCCAGTCCTTCGCTGTTTCCAGGCCGGCCCCATGGGCTGAAGCCAGTCCCTGGGCCTTGAGTCTGACACCCCTGCTCTATGGCCCCTGAAGACCCTACCGTGAGTCTGGTGTTTGTTCGGCAAAAGCCCTAAAGGGAGTCCTAATGCCTCCTTTCCTTTCCAGGGTTGTTCTGTAGCCAAGCAGTTGGGAGCAGAAAATTACCTGGAATGCTCTGCCTTCACATCAGAGAAGAGCGTCCACAGCATCTTCCGGACAGTGGCGTCCCTCTGTCTCACCAAGCCTGTCCTCCCGGGGGCCCCCAAGAGCCCCGCCCGGAGTTTTCCCAAGAGACTTCTCCGTCTCCCCAGCCGATCGGAGCTCATTTCTTCCACTTTCAAGAAGGAGAAAGCAAAAAGTTGTTCTGTCATGTGAAGGGCTGGCCGCAGAGGGTGGTGACGGAACTGCTGTAGACTCTGGGCCTCCAGGTGGCCCCTCCAGGGTGGGATTCAGGGAATGGCTTGGCTCCTCCAAGCCAGAGCTGGAAAGTTCAGAAGGATCAATTTCCCTCTCTTCCTCCTATCCAGGGAGGAGGGGGAAACGGCAAAATACGGCTGGACGGCTCGAACGAAGATTGGTGCAAAGCTTGGGGCTTGGCACAGCAACATCATGGACGGTAGCAGCTCTGGTGACTATTGCGCATATTTGAAGGAACTGGAAAAAAAATCACCACCACCACTATCCTGCCTTGCCACTGCACAGTTAATATCTTCCTTTGGCCTCCTAGGTCATCACGTCCATCTGCTGCTTGTCAATTGCCTGTTGGATGCGGACTGAGAGCAAGCATCTCTCCTTTCTCCCTCTGGGCCTACACATGTACCCTTCTCTATATCTAGGATACAGGTGCCCAGGCATCCTTCCTCGTAGAGATGAAGCTGGGGTGGGTGGGAGGAGAGAATGACCTTCTATTGATCTTGTGTATATGTGTGGAAAGAAAGGCAATATGGGAGGGCGGGGAGGGGGGAGATCTGTGAAATGTTCAGTGTTATTAAAAGAGAACTTATTTATTAATGAAAATATAATACCGATTAACCGTCTTATTCCAAGGGCTTTCTTCTTTGCCATCACCTCTCTTCCTGTCTCCTAGTGATAGAAGGAACAAGGAGAATCTATTTTACAAAACTTCAAATGTGATTCCTTTCCCATATCCCCAAAGGCAGGGGGCGAGGTTGGTTCCTATTGTTCTAGCTGTGGGTCAAAGTCCACAGTAATCTTCCATATGACTCTAGCAAGGAACTCTGGAAGCTACCTGATATGGCTTTAGTCAATCAAAGTAAAGAAGAAATCAGCTGGATCTGGGATAGGCAATACATACGGCTTTTAAATTTCAACTCCCACTGATCCCAGTCTCTTTGGCCAACAGGGAAGGTTGCTGGCAGTTGGAATCAATAGCTTTTGGGAGGCTGCTTTGTTTTGGTTCCTGAAACATAAAATAGTTTATTTCAGATTTGTATCCCAGGGCAGGATTTTGCTATGTTTTTAATTTGGAGATCTATTCTGCAAACACTGCTATGCTGAAGGACCCTGACTTTAAATAGAGATCTTTAAACCACATCTCATTTCTGTATGGTGATCATAAACTGCCCCAGTAGCTCTTGTGGCCTAATTGTGGCCTGGTTTTAATGGACAAACTAAACCTCTATCCAGTAGCATCTGAACTATGCTCCTGGTTGCAGTTATCCTGTGAGTGCTAAGGGCCCCATGGAATCTGAAGACTTTAAAATGTCAGATTGATACAACAACATGAGTAGGAGAAATCATTTGGTTCTATCATAGCAGCCTATCTAGTAATTCTATATTTGGATTTTATTTTGTTCAAAGCATACCTAGCAGTCCTCCCTGCATTTCCCCAAGACAATCCTATGTTGGTGAATGTTTATCATGGAAGAGGGCTTATTCTCTCGTATGACAAGTACAGGCCACAGTTGAACCCAAAATTTATGTTGTTCAAGGAGACATTTGTTAAGTGAGTTTTGCCCCATTTCTTGCCACGGTCGTTAAGTGAATCATTGCAATTGTTATAAATTAGTAACAAGGTTGTTAAATGAATCCGGCCTTTGATCCCATTGATTTGGCTTGTCAGAAGGTGGCAAAAAGCGATCACATTTCTTCAGGACAATGCAGCCGTCATAAATGTGAGTCAATTGCCAAGGGTCTGAGTTTTGATCACATGATCATGAGGATGCTGCAATGGTCATTAAGTGTGAAAAATTTCCATCAGTCACTTTTTTTCAGTGCTGTTGTAACGTTGAACGGTCACTAAATGAACTGTTGTAAGCTGAGGACTACCTGTAGTTCTCCTTGGCGAGATGATCTATAAATGGTTACTTATTTGGATGTGGGACCAGGTCTTTTTTTTTTCTAATAAGATTCTTATAAATGATTTTGTTTCAAGCAGTTGTTGATACCTGATGCTCATCTGCCAATGGCTAAACTTCATTAACTGTTAGAAATGTTTTGCAACATAGCCGCAGACTGAAAAGGGTACATATGAATGTGTCGCACAAGAGCGGTGGTGTTGGTTTATTTAACTTTACATTTAATGAGGTCCTTTTCACAAAGAGGTTACACATTTCTTCATCATAGTCGGTTCAAAGTCTGTTGGCCAAATCGGTCCGATTTCAGTGATGCATTGCTCAAATAGAAAGTGCATCCGACTGTCTGACAAGTGCTTTGCTATCATTGAGCAGAAGAAAGGTCAAGTTTGGCAATAAGATTTTATTGCTAGACTGAAGGCGGCTCCTAACCCTGAATGGGTATATAAAGCTTATGTAAACTTGCTGAATCAGGTTCAATTTACGACACGGCCATGCAGTTCCCTTGACAATGACATGGTAGAGGATTGCCAATGCCTTCCAGGATACCTTTTTAATTTTTCTAGTGTAGCCCAGTGTTTCTCAACCATGAAAACTTTATGAAGTGTGGAATTCAGTCCCCAGATTTTTCCAGCCAGCAAGCTTGTGGGGGATTTGAGGAATGGAGGTCTTCTGACCTTAAAATTGCCAAGATTGAAAGGCACCTGTTAGCTCTGGAATTCTAATCCTGTTTAGCTCTCAGATCCAGACAAGTCCGGAAGAGATCAAAAACGTAGTTGAATGTTGGTGACAAGAGCATTCTCTTTCGGTATAATATGCCTTTCCTAGCTAATATAAACTGGTACAGGCAGGCAAGTAAAGCTGCAGTTACACATGTAAATCTCAGATCTCCATATGCTGGGAACTATCTAAAAAAATATTTTGAGCATCACTTACAGGCTTAGGATATGGCAGTTCCAGGCAACAATAATACTAAAAGGTGCATGTTTTCTAGTGATCTTTGTATACATTAGTCTTCTTCCATCTGCTACCTTCTCGATGCCTGAATCTCAGATCCCAGAATTCTCAGCAATCGCTGGAATGGCTAGAAACGGTAGAATTCAAAATCTATTCAACTAAAAGGGTGCCCAAGATGGGGAAGGCTGGCCCAGCTAAAGTGTCTGCTTGATCAATAAAATCTATTCAATATTCCTAAAAGCTATGCAACTGAAAGACCTTGAATTCTGCTTCTCTTGTTACGTTGACTTTGTTTGCAAAATGTAATCTAGAACAGTGTTTTTCAACCTTTTTTGTGCAAAGGCATACTTTTTTCATGAAAAAAAATCACGAGGCACACCACCATTAGAAAATGTTAAAAAAATTTAACTCTGTGCCTATATTGACTATATATAAAGTAATTCTCCCACGGCACACCTTATACTATGTCACGGCACACTAGTGTGCCGCGGCACAGTGGTTGAAAAACACTGATCTAGAAGAACAATAACTCATTGAAGTACTCTAAACTGCTCCTAGCTTTTTTCAGCTGGTTGAGTTGCCTTGGAGATGCTAAGACTATAACCAGAATTTTAAACTAGTAAGTCCAGAGGTAATTCTGCAGACTTAACATATCTAGAAGAGCCATTAGATTGCAGAACCCTTAATGGGTTGAATGATACTCCCACAGTCCAAATCACCAATAGTCATCTTCCTTCAAGCTAGCCCACCGGTTTGAAGACAATGTTGGACTTGCCTTTGAAGGCAGCTATTTTATCTCACCTGCATTTTGTGACCTTTGGGTTACTGTATGGTTGTGCCATATTGTAACTAAGCCTAGCAAAAGTAGACAGAATACCTAGCAGAATTTGAATTCCACATTTAATAAAATGGTGGGTTTGCTTTAGCCTTTTTGTAGACAGTAAAATGTAGCCACTTTTATTACATTTTTGGAAGCTGGAGTTTAAATCTATTCTTCCAGGCTCCCATCCTACGTACTTAGTAGCTGAATATTTTTCTTTCTTTCTACAGCAGAGTTAATCTGCTGTGGGGACATAGCAACACATCTGAATTACATTTGAATTATCTTCTTGCTGTTACAGAGTTGTGCTTGGCAAATAAAGGTATATTTTATTTGAAATCAGGATATACTGTATTTAATATACATCCTCATTTTGTGAAAGCTTGGAGACGTTTTCCAGGAAGCTGACACAATTCTACTTCCAATTGGCGACTGTGTAGCTCGGGTGTAGGATGAGGATGAAGGTTGAAACATTTCATTACCAGACTAGATAATCTCTTCAGTGGAGTTTAGGTTGTGGTTTACAACCACAATTGGGATTGGAATTTTGGTTGCTAAGTAATGCAGTTCAGTGAATCCAACAGAAGAACACAGACACTGACATACCTTAAACTCCACTGAAGATGTTACCTAGACTGGTAATTAAACGTTTGGAAACCAACCCACAAGCTTGGCGAATGAATCCTCACTCCCACCTGTCTGTTTCCATTGGAAAGAAAAAAAAATCTAAAATTCCATCAGTGACAAAATGATAAATATTTTCTTGGGTAGGAGTGGAACATATGCTTACCTCTAAGAGTCAGTCAAAGATGGCAGAAATGTCTGAACAACTAATCTTCCCTCAGATCCAAAGTCCTAATCATGTACATTTTTTTCTGGCTTTTCCTACACTACACCATAGCTAGGCAGTAACACAAAGCGTTGTGGACTTTATCCCCTGAGTAAATAGATGCCTGCAATCGCATCCGGCTTATGAAACTTCCATATGGAAATTTGCAAAATGAGTGTACATGAGTGGACTGAAAGAAGACTTACAGCAGTTTCTGTGGGTGTAACTATCCTGAGTTAAGTGAGCCAGACAGTCCCATGTTATGAACGGTTATAATAATGCTAGATTCATTATTAGATCGGATGGATATTTGAACACAGGGAGCAGCAAGAAAGTGACACATCTGATTTGTACGACATGCTTTTCATCTCCTGAGTTAGTTTGCTCCTATAAGACATAATGGAGGATGCTGTCTTGATACCAGCTATTCAACATGAGTTACAAAAGGACCATTTCCTTGACCTTTACTTCAGGCAGCAAAGTTTCTTGTTCCAGCCCAGGTGGCCAGCAAAAGTGGAGAGATCCTAATATCTAGACAATGAATGTTCTAGCATGTTTTGTTGGAACTGAAAACAAAAGCAAATAATGTAGCTAAGCAAAGAAGGCATATAAAAAGCTGTCAGTCAGTCAGTACCAGATGTCTTTCAGACCAGGGTGGGCTGCTGGGGGTTCACATGGATTCGGGCGATCCTCAAGCTAAGGATCTGCCCAGTTCAGAGAACCTACAAATCCCATCCATGGCTGGCCCTGCCAACCACACTCCGCCGCTGCCACCCCACTGCACCCCTCCAAGGAGTCTCCATGCGGCCCATTTGGGGTGCCAGGTAAGTACAGGGCCATGTGGAGGGTCGAGGAGGGTAAAAAACAGGCCTCCTGAAGTTCTGGAAGGGCGAAAACAGGCCCATTTCTGGTCTTTGGAGGGCCTCCGGAGCTTTGGGGGGGGGGGAGTTTCCATCCTCCCGGAGGTGCAAAAAAAGCCTCCACAGCCTAGGGAGGGCAAAAAACGGGCCTCCTGGAAGTCCAGAAACGGGCTTGTTTCTGGCCTCCAGAGCTGTTTTCGCTTGAGTAAAACCTCTGGAACCCAGGGAGGATGAAAATGCCCCCCTCCATCATGATGCAGGAGACCAACTAGGCCACACCCACCCAGTAACTGGGCAGAGAACCCGTTGCTAAAATTTTTGAATACCACCCATCTCAGACTGTCTATCAATACAACAGCCCATTGCATTCAGTGTTCCATTCAACGTTTATAATATAGGTAGGTCTCAATTAGAGCAGTTAATGAATTTCGCAAAATGTTTGCATTATTTGAGTTTATGAAATATCTGAAGTGATATTTCTATGGAAAATGGGATATTTGGTTACAGCTCAACAGTAATACTGACTTTTAAAAAAATAATGTTATAGCAGGGGTGGGTTCCTGCCAGTTCTAACCTCTTCTATAGAAGAGGTTCCACAAGTCTACAGTGCCGTTTTGAACCGGTTCCAGCTCCCTCCCCCTGCCCGTCCGCACCTCATCAAGATGAAGAGCGAGAGGAGGAATTCTGGGAGTTGAAGTCCACAAGTCTTAAAACTGTCAAGTTTGAATACCCCTGGTTTTTTTTCCCCTAAACGGTTAGGGGTGCAAGGGTCTTGTAACTCGACAGCTTTAAGGCTTGCACACTTCAATGCCAGAGTTCCTGAAGCAACATTTTGGTTGCTAAGCAAGAGCGTTGTGAGTTTCACTACATTTTACAAGTTGGCCACGCCCACCCAGTCACATAGCTGGCAAGCCACTCCCACCCAGTTACATGGCTGGCAAGCCACTCCCATAAAGCAGGCCACACCTACAGAAGAGGTTCTAAAAAATTTTTCACAAGATAATTTATAAATAATAATTTTGTAATCATTTAAAATAAGAGGACAGAACAAACTGGAATTTATACACGGCATTAGGAACCATGAAGACAAATATCAGGAAATGCCAATGTGACTAATGAAAAGGATCAAGGAAGCTTAGAAATTTTTTCTCAGAAAAGGAAGGATTAAATTCAATATTATGTAAATATATTACTGTTAATCTAATAAGTTTCTTTACCATCCTGCCATGAGGTCTAGAGCATATTTGGTAAAAACAAAAACACAAGGACTGTGGAAGAAGAGAAATGGCTTAGAGAATAAAAGGCAGAAATTGTGCCTGTTATTTTAGAGCAAATATACTGCTAGATATCCAGAATTTTGTCTAAATTAGAAGGAAAAAGAGTTCACATAGTATTTACAACAAAGGTTTATTTGCAGAGAAAGAATATGCTCAGCAGAAGATTCCACTAGATAGTTATAACAGGTACCAAATAGACCACATCTAGATTTAGCTTAAATAAGAGCTGCAGGGGAAGTATCTGTAAAAGTACTAGCTGTCTCTGTCCAAGAAACCAAACAAGTAAGATATTGCTCATCAAACCATTGCAGTACTTCCTCAAAGTTTCCTTAAGAGTTTCAAAGAACAGTAGACAGAAAGGGAAATTTGAAATGAACAGACATCTTTTAGAAAAAGCAGAAGGGCACATGAACAAATAGCAAATATAAGATTATTGATAGAAAATACATGAGGGTTATATTTTCTTTATTGGCTTTTGTGCAGATCATCACACCACAATTTTGGATATATTACTATAAAACTAATGGGTGTGCCTAAACCTGATTATTTGCTTGAAGAACCTTTTGAAAGGTTTCTTTTAAGAAATGAGTTTGGAGAAACAAAGAGGTTCAGAAGAGGAAATACAGTGAAATTAAGGGGACCTATTGTTTCTGAGTATACAACAAATATAAGGAATGACAGGAAGACAGGGGAGTTAGAATCGAAAGAGGAAGCTGAAATATCAAAGCTGAGATAACTAGATGCTACTTTGTTAGCCAAAAGTTAAAAAAAACTGAATTGATTGGTAAAGCAAACAAAGCGGATATGGATCAAACTTCTACATGGCTTAAACGATTTTTCATGTTTTCGTGTTTAGTGGCACTCTCAGCCGTTACTATTGTTCCCCAAGGGGCAGAAAATGTACAAATGTAACGTAAATTGACATCATATCCAGGCTAGTTGAGCGGTTTCCTTTTTCGTGACCTGTTCAGCTAGGACTCCCAAAGCTGGTCTGCAAAAATCTGGAGATTTACTAGAGGAAAAACAAAACCTTCTATAACGCATTGCGGTCGCCTAAATTTCTACTGCCCTACATCCGGCCAGTCAATGCTCATCAGCCTCACCGGCTCCCATACGGAAAAGCCACCTCCTGCATGAATAACAAAAAAAAACAGTGAGAGCAAACGCTCAGGCGTCTGCGCAGAATAACGTATCTCTCTACGGGCACGCCTCTTCCTCCTTTTTCATACAAAGGCCTTCTGGGAACTGTAGTTGGCCAAACCTTAAAAGCTGATTTGGTGTGGTGCATGCTGGGACGTTAACCTTTCTCATGAGGCCTCTTAGGAGTTGTAGTTTCAACGCAGTGCCAGAAGGTAGCTCAATAGGCTGAGATGGACTCGCTTTCCCATCATGCTGCCTGGCAAGGGGCTACGGGGACCGGAATGAGGTTGGCTAAAATGGCGGGGCTATAGAAACGCTGTGAGTATTTACTGACGTCGAGAAACATTACAGGTGAATTAGATTTCTTTTTTCCCCCAGGAAACTTTTGGTGTTAGAGATTACAAGCAGAGGATGGTTTTCAAGGTCGGGAAAAGGAAGAATTGGGGGTGTGGGATAGGACTACTTTGTTATTGGTGGCCAGTAGCAGCCCTATGGAAGTGAGTGCCGATTAGTCTCCCACTTTTTGTTTTCAGTATTTCTGCAAGAGGAGAAAAAGCGAAAGGGCCATCAAGGGAGCGCAAATCTTCACGTTTTCAGCTTAACAAGATGCTTATTGAAGTTTATTGAATGTTTGTCTCTATATCCGCAGAATACATGAAATCATAAGCTAACGAAATGGGCTCGGTTTATAAAACGGGCTAACCCACCCACTCCTACAAACCTAAGAATATATATGGAATCGGGAGGACAGATTTCAAGGAAAATAAAAAAGTTTTTCTCCAGGCTAAAATTTATCCCTTCACCTCCAATATTTAGGGGACGCGGTGGCTCAGTGGCTAAGCTTGTCAATTAGAAAGGTTGGCAGTTTGGGGGTTCGAATCTCTAGCGCTGTGTAACAAGAGTGAGCTCCCTTTATTTGTCCCAGCTTCTGCCAACTTAACAGTTCGAAAGCATGTAAAAATGCAAGTAGAAAAATAGGGACCACCTTTGGTTGGAAGGTAACAGCATTCCGTGGTTTAGTCATGCCGGCCACATGACCACGGAGACGTCTTCGGACAATGTTGGCTCTTCGGCTTTGAAATGGAGATGAGCACTGCTCCCTAGAGTCTGGAACCCCCAGCCCATATATGAGAGGGGAACCTTTACCTCCAATATTTCTCTTTTTGTTTTTTAGAATGAGAGAGTGGGAAAATCCTAAAACGATGCTGAGATTCAAGATTTCTGATTTCTATCCAATGTATGAGAGAAAAATCAACCCTTAGTGACCTACTTGATTTTAGGAGAAAAATATATGTTTTAGT